CGAACGAGTTGGCTGATCCAACCGCAATCACGAAACGGTTCAGACTCGGTGAATTTTGCATCCAAATCCGGACGGTAATAGCCTGAATGGAAAACGAGGTGATTTCAGTCGTGTAGGTTGATGTAAAAAGATCATGATAAATAATTTTGAAAAACAAAATACTCCAACGGTGAATTTTGCGGTGTACAGAAAAAAATGAAGCGTCAGTTGAAAAGTTAGGAAGCATTGGACGGCTGTTTTAATCTGGTTGGATCTTATCAGTAGTACGAATACATTAACCCAACTGGGAATCAGTCTCATGTAACAAAAAAAATCGTCGTGACAAAGCATACAAAACCTAAATTTACCATTACTTTACGCATTACACGCACACAAAAACACTGTTCCACATTGTTTCGAGATGTGCACAAAATGGAACTTTTCCAGACCTCACAAGGAAGCACTGATTGTCAATGGCGTCTATCGTGTAGTACGGATGTGCTAAATGCCAATTACTGTACATTTCACAATTTGTCCCTGTGAATCAAGAGGTTTGTCCAGCTACCAGGCACCGGTTCCAGTTTTTACAACCATTAACAGTACAGTTTTGTGGACCGGTCCTGGTTGCTCATTTCGATAAAAGAAGATTGGAATTTATTGATTTGAACTGACTATTCTTCGGACTTCAACTTCACGCACAATCCTCAGTTCATCGATTCAACCCTACACTCGGAAGCACTGGACTGGAGTTTCGCGCTTATTAGAACTCAACAGTAGTGAATATCCACCATCCCGTCTGGGTTTTGAACTCCAGACTCATCACATGGAAGGTGCGTGCGTTACCACTGTGCCAACAAGCTCATACCATTGTGAGATACTACGCACTTATGAGTAGTAATTTATTTCAACGACCAAAAATCAACAAGATTACTGAGGGCAATTTGCTGGGTCTCAAAGAATAACTATTGATTGCTACATTCATTATCCGTCGTGTGGAAAGGAACTGCGACGGTATGTTTTTGACTAGATTTTTGGCGTTATGTATTCCAAATTACTGACCTCCCATCCGCAATCCTCAATAAAGGATTATCCTCGACCAGCATCGCCTTCTGGATTTATAACAATACCATGGCTGAACCAAATTGCCAATTCATGTTTGTTCAGGTGTCGTATCCAGTGATAGCCAGTTCGTTTGGCCCGACAGAAACGAGGAGAGACACAACTGAGAATCGGTTAACGCCAATCGAAAGCCTCATTGTACAAAGGCGTACTATACATCTACGTGAAATGGTTCATATGTGCAGAGATGCGAAAAGATGATTGCGGCGTAAAAATAATAAACTTTTTACATGTTATACAGCAAATAATTAAATAAAAACCGGTTGATAAGGGATATCACTGATTTTGAATAAAGAAGTCAAAGAAGTCAGGCTTGCACAATGTATCCTGGATCATTTCGCTGCATCTGTACACGTGCATACTGCAGTCTATGTGATCATTAATGCCTGGTGAAGTAAGTAAAATCATAAGTAAATCATAGGCGGAGAAAGATTACGGCCAAAATTACTCACCAAACACATTTGTTACCAAGGTAGCGCCAGATTGATAAGCCATTCACGCTGTTTACACAGTTTGGGATGATAATTTTGAATGGCTAATGCCTCGATCACATAGACTGCAGTATGCACGTGTACAGATGCAGTGAAATGATCCAGGATACATTGTGCAAGCCTGTTTTTGGCTTCTTTATTCAAATTCGTTAAGGGGAAACTACGCTGATTCTTTAACAAGGTTAAAAGAAGGGACCCTTTGTGAAGAAAAGTCGATAAAGATTTACAATTGTTCGGTCTTAAGTGAGAAGTGAATAGAGACAAGATATTCTATTGGTAATTTTCAATTTAAAATCGGGTTTCCAAGGTGCAGAAGTTGCAAATACAAGTGTTTTATTTCAGTCTTCAGGATTGAGGGCAGGGTGCCCGTGTAAGCTCCATCACCACTGGGTTGAAGGTCCGATCACAAGTGTTCGTTCCTCCATAGCTCCTTCAGGTGCTCATCCAGACGCCGTTTGAAAGCAGCGTCTGCCTTCTCTTCCACCACAATCGCTGGAAGGGAATTCCAGAGTATTGTTAACCTATGCGAGAGTCGGTAGACTAACGGAAGACCAACTGACTGAAGTTTCCGCAACGTGAGAGAGTGCCCCCGCGTGCGGTGCTCTGTCCGTAAAAGGAAGTACTGTTGCAGCTCCGGGCCCATATCACCTCTCAGGATCTTCCTCAGGCAGATGAGGATGAAAAATAAGCGTTTATGTACACTAATTAGTGTGCTCGTGTGCAGAGGCTTCTACCACTCAGATCGAATTACCTTGTAAAAGGTCTCTAAACATTTTTATAAAGAATTGTATTAATAACAAAGAGAGATGTTCATTTCTACAGCCATGAGTTTATCGTATTACCACGATCAGATCAATATTTACGCTGGTTAGCCAGTGTAAATTTTAATTTAAGTGAGTTGTGCACAATTATGATTATATGTGCATTCATGTATTTGACATGGGATATGATTGTTTATAAGTCATTTGACATTTGGCCGTATGGAAGAAATAATCTGGGAAGCCTATGATAATTTGGAGTGTAATATGCTGTATCATAGTGTATCGAGCGCTGAATCACGAGTTCATTTTTTGTGCAATTTTTTGAGTGCTGGCACAG